CACTTCCCTGAAAATAGCATGCACTTCTGTGTACATCTGTCCCCATTCCCTTTCCTTGATCCTCCTTTTCAGGCTCAACATGTTCTCAGTATACCGCGAAGGAGGAGCTAAAACAGTGGACCGTTCTGAAGAGTTGTTGGAGGACGATGCTGTTACAAAATGTTTGATCCCAGAAACAAACTCAGTCATGTTGTACTGACTCGCATAGCTGTCGATCTGATCAGAAACAGTCTCATATAACTGAGTGGTGTACTTATCAACCATCCCAGTCACGTCGTTTTCTTCCATCCATTTCCTGACTCCGATTCTCTCAGCGTAATTGTTCTCCTCCACATGTGATTTGAGGCGAAAAACAGCATCTTTTCCTTCGACTCCAATCTTATAGGAAAAGAATATGGCACCAGACAAGGATCCAACACTAAGGCCAACAATCAATCCAATTGCCACAATGGTCTTGAGCCTTTTTAGAATCCCACCAGTGAAGAAAGAAGTAATGGGCAAACGACGAAAGCTTTGGCTTCTAAGATTAGTGACTGCATTCATGGTGGAATCCACACCAGAAGATGAAAACATGAAACCTAACGTGAGAAGTGCTACCGAACCCACGGCTCCGATCAGTTCATAAGCCATCACAAACACCCAGAAAGAGACCAGTAACCTCAGCAATCTGAAGAACCCACTTCTACGGCGCCTAATGGGACCGAGTCTATCTTTTCTACGGACAATTCCGAGGAATTTCTCCTTGATATCAACAAGGGTTCCGACGAAAACCCTGAAAATAGCCACGGGGATGGCCAATATGGTCTCAGTGAGTCCAAGCTTGAGAGGCTCAGACCAAAAGGAAACGAGGGTCTGTTGAATCCCCCTCAATGGGATCGAACAGAGGACGGCCCAGAGGAGGGGCCTCAGATATTCCTCGAGCAATTTACAAATTCCGTAAAGAGTGAAAATCATGAGGGCTAATCCAGCGTGAGCCATGGCTATGTAGATGGCGAGGCGTGCCTGTGGGTCCCAGGAGCTGTCGCCGTCTCCGGCGGAGGAGGGAGGCTTCGGTTTCGGCTTCGGCGGCGGTAACGGATTCTGAGGTGATGGGTCGGGTTTTCTCATGGACGCGGACCGGAACATGTCCTGCCACGCCGGAGAAGCATTGGGGTCCGATTCGGATTCTTTCCCGTCCGAATACGGCACCAGCTCCATTGGCGCTTCCTTTCTCGAAGGACGTGAAGAAGAAAAAAATGACGTCTTTCTCTGGTTCCTTGGGGAAGATGATGGTCCGAACCGGACAGGACTTGGGGATGTTTTTCGATCGGCCGGTTTAATCACTGGTGGCAATGGCATCTCTCGCCCCGCTCATGTCCCATCGCACATGTGTCCTTTTTCATCCATGTGTAACGATGTATGCACAAAACTTACATAATTTCTCAATCATCAACAAGATTTTGACACGGATTATCGTTCCGTTTGTAAAATTGACAAAATTTTACCCTTACAATATAACGATTCATTTAGATTCGAGGTAAAGTAACTTTAAAATAATGTGAAATTTGCACTGAATATGACCAAAACATATGTCATTTCCCAATATAGAATTTAAACTTTTTTATTACCTAAATAGAATTTAATAATGTATATTAAGAAAAATAATGCCCAAGTGATGCTGAATATTTAGTTGAATAATGATTAATAGATAATGACCAAATGTCCTACATTGGAAAATAAAAACATACGGTCTTATATTAAGAAAACCATTATGTTTTAGTCCTATTTAGATAAATTGTCCTCGAATAATTTGAGTTCTCTACGATCCACCATTTGTAAAATTAATAGTTTCTATTTCCTAAACTTCTAGCTCCCTAAGCTAAATCATCGATCTAGGCGGGTGCTGGGGTGGGGTGCAAGGGTGGCAAGGAAGGTGCTTGGGTGAGTTGCAGCCGTGCAGGAAAAAGAGTTAGGAGACATGAACCATCAATTTAGTGAATTCATCAACGGAGAACCGTAGGTGCCCAAAGTGTCAATGGCCGTGTTTGGAAAACAGTATTTGGGATAGCGTTTGACATCTTTGACTGACTTTGGCTTTTTTGACCAAGCGAACCGCCAAAACCATTGTTTGGCTAATGACTTTTTCACTTGGCATTTTGATCCGAAAAGCCAAAATCTGAAATGCCAAGGTGAGAAGCATTTGGACATGGCGGTTAGAAAAAATATTTTTTTTAAATCATTTTTGTTGAAAGATATTTTATAATATATGTAAAAAATAAAAATAAAAGTTAAAAAAATTAAATACGAAAAAATAAAATGAAATTAAAAAAAAATTATATTTATAATTCATTAAAAAAATTATATTTATAATTTATTATGAATGAAATGAAATTAAAATTTAATATTCCATATAGTAAATATTTAATTTTTACATGTAAAAAAATGAAAAATAAATATCATGTCTACACACACACACACACACACATATATAATTTTTTATTTAATTTTTTTAATTTAAAAAAATATATTTATGATATGATATTTAAAAAAATTGTAAAATAAAATATACCATAAATGGAGGGATGTCCTTTTATGTAATTTTATTTACAAACAGCTAACTATAAACAGCTAAAGTTGCCAAACACTTAAAATTTAACTACTAACAGAAACAGCCGGTCAAAACAGCTAACTCAATCAGTCATTCAAATCAGCTAACATAAACAGCCAACAGCCAACAGCCAACTGCCAACTGCTAGTATCCAAACAAGGCCAATGTCATTTAAGATCAAAGTTAAGCTCGGGTCAAAATATCATTGCCGTATTAAATATTAATTCAATTAAAAAGTTATTCTTATAATTGTAATTCTAGAAAAAAAAATTTACTCCTATATACTCCGTATATTGTGAGACATATGTAGTGAAGACAAAGATGAATGGCACTGATAGAAAATAGAAATGACAATCAAGAACAGTTAATTGGGACACATTATTTCTTTGAAGTATTAATTAATGCATAAATATAGTTGAACGCATCCACAATATTGAAATGCATGTCATCAATTAAGGGCATCCACTTAACTTCAATGTTAATAAACAGCTGATTAATCAATACTTTTATATTTATTTATATTCAAATTATTCCTTCAATGACCCGACCGACTAACTATTCCCTTCAATATTTTTTTAATTTTTACTTACAAAAAAAGTTATGCATGTTTATGGATTATCCATCCACCCAAATACTTTAATTTAGACTCGGTAAAATATTGGCCTAGTTTAGTATCAACGTTAGAGATTAACGTTTTGAAAAGGCTATCCGACGATAGCCTTTGACGTTTTCAAAATTAATCTACACCATTAAAATATTATCCAAAATGCTAACGTTAATCGAAAATGTTGTTACCAAACAATACTATTATTTGGGCTCAAACTTTATGTTCAAATCCATAGGCTACTTGATCTGTTAGTAATAATTGTAAAAATGATATTGCATGACAATAATAACAATTATTATTATTATTGTTATTATTGTTATTATTATTATTGTTGTTGTTGTTGTTATTATTATTATTATTATTATTATTATGATACAAACACATTCATATTTTAGTTGTAATGGGAAAAAAGACAATTACGATAAGTATATTTAATGAAATGAACATTTCTCTTATTATTTTTGATTGCAAACTACATACGGATGACTTTTAAATAAAAAGAATAACAATTTAATTTCATACACAAAAAAAGGTTTTTTTTTTAAAAAAGAAAATATTGCTTTGATAAGTGCAATCGTCATAATTGTCAAATAGTATATCAAAACATTTATGCATTAAAACATTATTTCATTTAAAACATATTATAAAACTGAATTTGATTGCGGGCAGGCCGACCCAAAACTTTTGAATACCTATGAGAATTGAGTTTAGAATTTGATTGTTAGGACTGCTACGTAAGTTAGATCAATTTTAGACCTATAAAATTTCGACCATGCATATAATATCTTGATGTGATTTGAATTCTGATCAAGCCATCCCACCGCTCATTGCTATAGTGCTATATGTAATTATGTATATTCGAGTACAAGTTGTCTTTCAAATGTGATGTTTGAATTTTGAAACACTACACCAAACTACAAAAGGAAAGATAACAATGGGTTGGTCCTCTTAGCCTTTTAAGGGTTGGGGACATAAAAAGAGAGAGTGCAATATAAGCCAACCCATACATGTTTTCACGGAAAAAGAATACTATCTCAACTTTGAGCTCAATTAAAAAAATTATAATGTACGGAGAATATTATTATAAAATAATTTTATTATATTTATCTTATTGAAAATGTTCAAAATTTTAGTTTATCGTACAAATATGCAATACAAATTGAGAGTAACTAAAGTTCAGAATTGCTCTAGTTTGATTCGAGAAAGTGAAACTGGATCAATATACTCAGATAGATGTAGTATTAATTGAAAAATTTAAGCAAAGTTATATTTAATTCAATTAATTAATACGGAGTACTCCGTAGTAGGTAAACAATTAGAAAAATGAATCGAATATATACATATTTAAAAACCACATAAAGAGTTTCAAGAGAGGTGACATACTCCGCAATTAAATATATTATTTTTATTAAATGATTAATAAAACCAGAAAAATAAAGATGATATAATTTGACCATGGCCTTGTTTGAAATTATCGTTTTCGATTAGCGTTAGCGTTTTGAATAAAATTTTCGATTAGCGTTAGCGTTTTAGACAAAATTTTAGTTTTTTGGGACGGAGTGTATCTTGTGAAAGCTATTATCCCCACAAGCAGTGTCCTACTAAGTTTGAAACCGACATTTTTCATTAAAAAAAAAACTGATTTTTAAGATCCGTGAAACCGGAGTATTAGGAAAAAAACAACAGTTTGACATGTTCTGGGACACTAAAAATCTAACGCTAATAGTACTCTGTAACAATTAATACTCCGTATAACATAAGCATATTCATACTAAAATACAAATCTTAAACTCCACTTAAAGTACGCACAGCATCAATATCTACCCTGGGTTTATTCATTATTAACTGTCGTTTTCCTTCATCATAATTAAACCTGCAATTTTAATCCATCAAGAACAAGAAATCAAAGAAGAAGAAGAAGAAGAAGAAATTGAAGAAGAAGAAGAGATGATACTGGTGAAAGCCATAATGGGTTTCTTTCATTCTCTGTTTGGAAGGGATTGCAGAAGACGGCTTAGCTTCAAGCGCAAACACAGTGACGCCGGAGAAGCAGGTTTTTTTTTTGGTTTCCCATCCATTTTTCTCAATCCCTATTTCACATTATTATTATTATTAAAATAATAATAATAATAAGAGGAGGAAGAAGAAGAAGAAATATCATTATTATGATCATCGATTCATCACCACCATCATCATCATCATAATCATCTTCACAAATCTGTGAGTTTCTTGAGAATGGTGATTATGATGTATGATGTGAAATTACAATACAGCCCTTATGTGTTGACATCATATTGGTGTTCTTTGGTTGGACTGGATATATACGAACAGGGCGAGCATTGGAAGAGCTTAGGAGTTCTATACACAACGAGCTCCGGACATCAGAGGGAGCCAGGCGACAACAGCAGCGATTTTGCGGGCCATTGGTGGCAATGTCATTCAATTTCATGGTTGCTGTTGGAATAATCCTCGGAAACAAGCTTGTATGTGATTCGATCTTCCACGTTCCTTCCCTGATAAAAAAACATTGTCTGTTTTCCCAGTCTGATGAAGATGCTTGTTGTCTCTTCAATTCATTTGCAGGTTATGGGTAAAGTTGGATTCAATTTCCCAATCTTTCTCACTCTAATCCATTACACATGTGCTTGGATTCTTCTTGCCATTTTCAAGGCATTGTCCATTCTCCCCGTCGCTCCTCCATCCAAATCCACGCCTTTCTCTTCGTTGTTTGGCTTGGGGGCGGTCATGGCTTTCGCATCTGGCCTTGCTAACACCAGTCTGAAACATAACAGGTCTCATCTCTTTCTCTGGATCTACTGAAGCACCTACAATGGCACTTTAACATCAAGGATGACACTAAGGTTGACACCACCAAAAACAATTTTTTGTCATCCGTGGTGTGACTATAGCATAACCCGCATTAGCACTGGCCATGTTTTTCTTTTCTGGAATACTCAGGTCAAATATAAATGTGCAGTGTAGGTTTCTATCAAATGGCTAAGATTGCTGTCACTCCAACAATTGTCATTGCTGAGTTCATCCTTTTCAGGAAGAAAATATCATTCTGTAAAGTGAGTACAGCTTGCAAGGACATCATCTTTAAGTTATTCATTTTCTCCACTCTGAACATAAGGTTTTCACCTACTCTTTTGCATATGACAACAAATGACAGATTTCAAATTTAATGTAAGCAGGTTTTGGCTCTTTTGGTGGTCTCGGTAGGGGTGGCAGTTGCTACCGTAACAGATTTGGAGTTCAACATCTTTGGCGCTTGCATTGCAACAGCTTGGATAATCCCTAGCGCCATAAACAAAATTCTATGGTCTAATCTCCAACAGCAAAAGAATTGGACAGCCCTCGCGTAAGAAACATGTACATATATGTGTCATTCATCATTCTATATCTATATACCTTAGCAATAAGATGACAGACTGAGAAGAGCTGAATTGCTGGTGCAGGTTGATGTGGAAAACCACACCTATCACAGTCTTTTTCTTGCTGGCTCTAATGCCATGGCTGGACCCACCGGGAGCGTTATCGTTCAAGTGGAATGCCCATAACATCGCCGCCATTCTTGGATCCGCCTGCCTTGGTTTTCTCTTGCAATGGTCTGGTGCCTTGGCGCTCGGGTGAGACTTTTTTTTATTTAACCTAAGATATATGTCTTCTACTTGTGCTCAAATCATTTTATACCTAAATAGAAGTTAATGTTGACAATGGCATACAAAGCTCTGCCACCAACCACCGGTTGCCGCCTGATAAAGAGACAATGTGTGTCATTGACACATTGCACCACATGTCATCAACATTGAGAATTCATTGTGACATGAAAAGTATGATAGAAGACTTTAATTCTTACCTATAGTAGATTCATTTACTAAAAAAAAATAAATTAAAATTCATGATTGCAGAGCAACATCTGCAACTTCACATGTGGTTTTAGGGCAATTCAAGACCTGTGTGATTCTACTAGGAGGGTACTTACTTTTCAGTTCAGACCCAGGGATTGTGAGCATATGTGGAGTCATTACTGCACTTTTTGGGATGTCCATTTACACACTCCTTAACTTGAAAGAGTCAAGAGAGAAAGCGGAACAAATGTCAAAGCGTCTACTCTCTCCGAAGCCCACAGATAGTAACACAGATGATTCAAAAGCAGATCATGCTCCGGCCCCGACTGCTGTCTGAGCCTTATGTATAAAAAAGTCATGTTTAGATTATCCTCCTTGTACAATGCTAGTCTCATTTCCAATGCTAACTTTCCTTTTGTTCTTCCAATTTTTTGTTTCATATAAAAACAGACTAACTCGAACATTGGTTTGCTATTCTAAATTTATCCGGTATGAAATGACTTAAAGTTATAAACAAAATATATTCGGAGTATATGATAAAGAGACAAATCCAATTAGGAATCATTCCTAAAACTTAGGAGTGATCCGTCAAGTTAAATGGAAGTTTGGTAAAAAATAAAAAAAAAGAATGATAAACAGATGAAGCTGAAATTGTGTTTTTACTGTTAGTCCAAGGAGACATCATAGATGCTCGATCTCTTCTTGTTCTTGACATCCTTTTCCAGATGAATAAAGTACTTCTGAGCATGGCTAGCAACCTGAGTAGCTGACCTTGTCTTAACACACTGCCTGGCTATGCTCTTCCAATCTCCTTTCCCAAACTTATTTAGCCCTTCCAAGAACCTCCTGCCATTCATTTTGAAACCCCAAAAGAGATCACAACTTTAGAGGAAACCACAAACAACAAAATGGTTTTAGAACAACTAAGAACGCTCAAGGTCAAAGAGAGAAAAACACAGAATATTAATGTGGTAACACTGATGGTAAACTTCACGGCAGTAAAGGGATATATATTTGACGATTTCAGAGTATGTACAGTTACATACAGGGGGTCTCTTGGGAACAACATCTCTACTTTCGAGTAGGGTAAGGTCTACGTACACACATCCTCCCCACACCCTACTTTTTTTGGGGTTTTATGGGTTTCTTGTTGTGCATTTATCGAAAATACACGCTATAAAATATCTACACGGAGGATAATAAAGGTATAACCTAGATAATACATCAAATATTACATTAGAGTATTAGACCCCACAACCAAACATCGTCGTCGTTGGGCTGAATGCAAATCAGTAAAACCATACTACAAGTTTGAGTTGAACCCATTAATAGCTACTCCAACCCGAAACCTTATAAACTCATTGGCTTTGACATTCCAAGACGCGTGGACCGATCTCTTATCAATACTTCTTTCATCCCATAAAAAGAGTCATCCCTTACAAGGATACAACTTTTTAATTTGGTTAAGGCACAAATTTTGTATCTCACCAACTATTGCTATGTTTTCGATTTATATGTTGGTTGAACTAAAATTTGTAAACGAACCAACCCAACAAAAGTGTAAGGAACCAACTCCACAAAAGATTAGCAAATTTAGAGTCTTGGAAAGGCATTACACATTTACACTATATCAAATTTAGCACAACCAACTTGCTTAGGATATTTTTGGGGTTAATGAGTAGTAGAAACTAAGTAGAGTGGAAAAAGCATCAAACCAAACATACTTGTGTTCCTCAGCAGACCATTGGCTAGCAGGTTTCCTGCGCTCTTTGATCTTCTTGTCGGCTGCCACACTGTAACTGGGAAGCTGAATAAGGCCAGCCTCAATGTCGGCCACATCGGACAGAAGAACTCGATAGTGTAGCTCGACGTCCATGGCGGTTTTCTGGGGCAGCAAATCTGCAATCTTTGCCCATCTGTTAGGCGTCCCTTCTCCATACTTGACCAGACCAATCTCAAACACCTTGTCTTCACTCCTACACCACACTGATTCTCCGCCTTCCATCGCCGCCGCTTACTCTATGATCATACCACCACCGCCGCCGCCGCCGCAGTTAAAAATTCGAATTACTTTCTCCTTGCAGGGGGAAATTGAAGATGGAACTCCAAATCTTAACAGCTATGGTCAAGAATTTAAAGAAAAAAAAACCTGCGAAAAGGAGTGATTCATATAGACGAATCAGCATACATGCGTGAATCGCGCGAGAAGACGGTGCGGATTTTCCATATTTGGAGCAATAAATAGTGAGGAAATTATGCTAATTAACGGATTAAGACATGGAATGAGGTGGGCGAAGCTCTCATGTAGTCATGTTCATCTGTGTTTTTCATTTTTTACGAGTATTTTTTTTTTAATGATTTTAAATCATTTTATTTTCTTAATTGGAAGCACAAAGTTTGTGTATATTTTGACTTTTGTATTTATAACCATAATTATGTGTTAGAGAATGTTATTGTCCACAAATGAAAAAAACCGGTATATTGTTTTTACTGTTTTTATAATTAAAAAATAGAAATTTATATTGTAGTAATGTGAAACTGTGTATAAACATTTCATAATATTTTTTTGTAACATTTGGTTGACACTGTAAATATCTTTTAACTCATATATATTTGAGGGAAAAAAAATTAGAATTCTCATTTTATATTCTGTATATTTTTAATGTTTTATTTTTACTTTGATTTTTTTTAGTTATAATTTATCCTGAATCAATTCGAAATTTTTAATATTTTGGCTAGTTGAAGTGGATTATTGTCTGATTATTTCCATGTCATTCCTGGTCAATTTTTTTATGCATTGGACTAGACCAATTTGGTATTGGATTTTCGATTCGACATGTCTAATTGCCCGGTGCAACCTGGTTAACATTGCCATGAAAGAGAAAAAAATATCGGGTATTTTTGCCTATCGATGACGTTTCCATGACATTAGAATCATATGTCATGATTGAGATGATCCGGAGGTGCTCCAGTGCCCGCTCGTATTATTGACGGTTCTTATTCCCTAACCCATCCGGTAAATCCTCCTCACCGACACGACTCGAACACCCCCTCTACCACCTTTAATTGTACTTACATGTTAATTTTGATTTTAGAATCAATTTTTGCCAGATAATGTTACGGAAACCGCCCCCGTTAGCCAATATGAGTTGTGTACTTGTGTCATGAGGTACCAAAATAGACTTCTTTTTTGGGAGAAAATTTCTTATAAAGAAAATTCAAAATTGATTGCCTTCTAACATAAAAAGCTCGAAAACTCTTTTTGATTTTCTAGCGGCGAGTGGGGTAGACGGGGAGTGTAGGGGGGGTTAGAGATGGGCTAGGGGTAGAAACCATCAATTTTTTAAGTGGAATATTACAAAAAGTTTAGACTGTGCTATGACATTGGATTCATTGTCATTTGAACTGTCTCCGTTTTAGAATTTAAAAAAGAACACTTTATACTCCAAAAAATTCAAGTTTTATGCTTACCAAAAAATACGGAGTAATACTTTTTTTTTGGTACTTTCAAAAAATCCAATAGCTACACGCATCCCAAATGAAATCAGCCACAAAACTCAACCAATATATATATCAAATCTTTGTACAAATCAACAGTTCAGCAAATACTTTGAATCTAGATTTCTTGCTAACTTATGAAGTATGAATTGAATCTTGAACCTACACTATTTCATATTTTAACTTTTCACGAATATATTTTCGTAATTTGAGTTTTTAATTATATCTTTTGATGTTGAAGATTAAAAAAGACACAGTTTACTTAAATACTTTATTGCAATAACTTTAGGCAGCTGATCTTTAGTGTTTAAGTATATTGCAATAACTCTATTTATTATTTAAATACATTAATTATTTTTTTCAAAATTGAAAGGGGTTTAGAGAAAATAAAAAAATAAATAAATAAAAGAGAAACTGTTTTAAAAAATGGAATATAAAATTGACTTACCTTAGGTTGTAGTGATTGAGATTTGAGAATGGGTAAATTTGGATAATCGGATTGGGATTTGAGCAGATTAAAAAAAAGGGAAAGGATAGAGCAATACAGAATCATTACGGCCCCGTTTGACATCAGCATTAGAGATTAGCATTAGCGTTTTGAAAAAGCTATCCAACGATAGCCTTTAGCATTAGCGTTTTAAGAATTAATCTACACCATTAAAATTTTATCCAAAATGCTAACGCTAATCCAAAACACTGTTACCAAACAAAGCCTACAATTAGTTTGGTCTAAATTAAATTAATGGGTTGGAAATAATTAAATTGGATCAGATGAGAAAAAGATTTGTGAGGAAAGATATACTCCATAATAAAAATACTTCTAATTTTACTGCGTAATTATTATGAAAATCTTTATAAGGAAACTAAATTAATTAAGATAATTTCCAAATTTGTTTTATTGATTGACAACACTAATGTTCATTTCCATAGATGAAGAGTGGGGATGTTTCTAATTCGATCAAGATTGAGTATACGTGGGATTTGTTGTTTTCAATTTTAATTATATTCCAATTGTCCAGGGGCTCGTTTGGGAATAACGTTAGAGGTTAGCGGCTTGGATAAAATTTTAACGGTACAGATTGCCTTTGAAAACGCTACTATTAATTGCAATTCGTAGATAGCCTTTTCAAAACGCTAATCACTAACGTTATTCTCGAACATGCCCTAGATTTTTGTTACGATTATTTCTTATGTGTAGTCTTCAGTCATCAAAAGTCAAGATTCCAAAATTTGGTTATTAGAATCGAGGTTCCAAACTCACGTCATTGGACTTCGTATTATATAGACTTTTGACTCGAGTTAAAACTAAGACAGGAAGAAAATATTCAACCTATGATAAGTTTGAGACTTTTGGGAGGAGAAATTGGTCTAAGAGGAAGTATAATATCTCTACTCAAAAACAGAAAATATCATACCAATATGAAGTTGGAATGACGAAAATATTCAAGCTATGAATGCACATTTTTTTTCCTTTTTCCAACATGTATTTCTTTAAATATGTGACGTTAAACCGTTATTATTGATTTCAGAGAGAATATATAAGGGGTACATATGTAGGCCACACTAGCTATATAAGCTCAAAGAATAATTTTGGTGTGAAATCTTTCAGTTGATAAGATATCATAAGGTAGACATGGTTTAATTATACATAATTGGCAGTTGTTGGTCGGGTGTTGTTAGTTGTTTGTCCACTTTTATGTGCTGTTATGTATGTATCACATATCACCCGTCAAATGTTGTGTTTTGTGAGAAGAGAGATGCATGGGAGAACACACACATTTGTGACATGACATTATATTTGGACATGTATTCAATGTCTTATTATTATTATTATTAATTATCATTGTGCTTTGCATGAACGAATGAGAAGAAAAGAATATTTATAGCTAATCTAGAATTAAAAGAAAAATTCACTATATTACTCTTAGAATAATTGTGTGAGTTTATATAATCACTTGTAGTTCGATAAGAAACACTGCTGTTTCCATAACTTTTTTATATTCACATGCATCGGTTCTCAGACGCTAACCAGACAACCATTGATTCAACCAGGAGTCATCGGTATGAACGTATATTAATTTCCGGAGCACGAGTGTGAATGTATAGATATCCCATGAACTACGGTGTTTCGATGTTGTTTATTGAGCTTAGAAGTAATTGTATAAAGTAAAATTTGCACTAAATAAGACTAAAAACAGAATTCATTTTTCAATGTAGAACTTAAATTTTTTTATTCCCTAAATTGGACTTAATAATGTGTAGTGGGAGGAATAATATCCAGTAATGATGGACATTTACTTAAATAATGACTAATTTACATTCAATAAATGCTTAAAATAAAATTCATTATTTTTTTGTCATTTCATATAGCTTATTTTTAAAAAATCCGGGGCACTTCCACGGAACCCCCAACCAATGGTGTCCCCATCTAAGTTTCTGGATCCGCCATTGCCAGAATTTGAGAATATTGGTATGAACTTTCTTTTATTTCTATTTAGGTATAAACGGAAGTGTCTACTTCAGGTACTAAAAAATATTTTATTCTTATATATTTTATGATATGAGTATAACAAATGATATAAAGGAAAAAATTGGAATGTGATAGTTGTATATTTGAATGTTGTTTGCTCATTCTGTCCCAAAATAGATTCTCCTAGCTACTACTATATTGGCTCTAAGTAACTTTTTTTTTAATTCTCTGCTTTCACTAATTATTTGTTAAAATAACATATTTTTATCATCTTTAATTTTATAAATTTTATAATATAATTTTTAATACGTAAATTATTTTTATTTCCATACAAATTTATGAATAAAAAAGAATAAGTGCCGTGTGGATTTTATGTTTGTCAAGGCTGGATGGAGTATTAGCCGTGAAATGGGTTGCTCCGTGGTTTAGTAAATGATAGGTACTTAAGCTAATAGTTGCTAAGGACACATCTCAACCATTGATCGCCGTATTGGAGGGTGATCAATGGTTGGATGAACGGGAGGTAACTGAGGCGGGTACCGATATAACAGTTGACACCATTATCTCTATTTTGGGGTGAATTGAACCTCTGCTTGGCATTATCTTTGTTGTTTTCGGAGTGGGTCAAACTCCGTGGGCTCGGGAATGTCCGTTCTATTTGTAATTATTTTTATTTTTTCTATTTTTATTTACCCGGGTTAGGGTTAGAATGAGATCCGGACCATGTCCATGCTATCATAGGACGACCACTGGGCTTCATGATTGTGACACACTACTTTTGTTCCATTATTGTTTTTTAGGACAAGTAAATTGAATGGAGAAAAAAACGAAAGTTCATCCAGATTCGAGTCCCATCAGAAGTGAAAGTATGAATCTTTTATGGTCATTAAATTAAGAATAGTATAAACAGATACTATCTTGTAAATTGAGAATAGTATAAACAGATACTACCTTAAAAATTATTGTTGGGTCCAAGAAAGCATGGGAGACAGGTTGGAGTGATTTGGGGGCCACAAGTGTTTTTTTTTTAATAATTCAGACAGACGGCGGTGCTTGAGAGGACAAAATAGGTGAAAAGCTTTATTGCTTTTATCATCTTTCTTTTGACCCATCAGCCAAGCCAAGCCCCCCATTCACTTTCATTTCATTATTCCTATGCGTCGGATTACTTTTTTTGGGCTTTGATGACCATAAGGACTTAATTTGATTAATGGATTGTGTTTTGGATTTTACAATCATTCTTTTTACCCTTTCTATTTTTTCCACTAGTTTATTATTTGTATTTTTAGGGATTAATTGGGGAGTAAACAACAATAATTTACTTTCTTTTTTTCCTAATAATTAACTAACCATAAAAGTCCATGCTCGATCCCCACTGAGGACGATAACTTAATATAAACAAATACTACGTTGTAATAAATCATTAATGATAAAAAAATTATAAATAATTTTGAGGTATATCAAATGTTGAATGAATATTAACATATCCATCTATATTCATTTAACTTTTGAGATATTTCAAAAATCATAATGATCGATCAATTAATTAGAAATGAAGAAAAGCATGTCTAAAATACCATGAAAGTATTAATGTCGAAAATCCCACAAGATAGAGAGAACAAAATCCATTCTTTTTGATTAGTTTTGCTATGATTGTTGTACTTCAAAACGAAATGAATTTGAATGTACGTCACATTTGCATTCAATCTTTTTTAATGTATGAAAAAAATCGTATTCCGTACTAATCAAACAAAAGAGAATGAAAGAATATGTTATTACAATGTCGAATCAACCTTTTACATTAGTGTTGCAAAGTGAGACTAAAATAATTTAATTAAGAAATGTCAACCTCTTTACGAGTTTACGTTTTGAATGATAAGACTAATATGTTTGTTTAGTCTATTGGATGAAAATACAAATACTACCTCTTCCCTCATATTCTTTTTTTTCCTTTGTTTTTTTTAAAGATTGTTTTATGATTAAAAAATACGGAATCAAGTTGCTCACATGTTTACTTGAGTTCTATAATAGAAAACTGAGTGAGCCACACCAATGGTTTTTTAAAATAGAAAGATATTTTTTTGGTACAAGAAAATGAAACGTTATATACTGAGTATTTATTTTTTGGTTGTCCACATCCATTTAGGCAGTGTTTGAGAATAACGTTTTCGATTAGTATTATCATTTTGAATAAAATTTCAATAATATAAATTAATTTTTAAAATGCTAATGCCAATTTACAAAAGGCTACCGTTAGATAACACTTTTCAAAACGTTAACACTAAATTTTAACGCTTTTGCCAAACGAGACACTAATTGGAGTTTTGACTCAGGCCGAGCTCATATAAGATCGGCCCAATGAGTTATTGTGACATTTTGTAGAGTGGGCCGAATGAATTCTTATGAAAGTTTGGGCCTCGGCGTGGATGAGTTGGCAAAGAGTGAGACGATCAATCCCACAAATCGTGGAGATTGATGACCGTTCCCTGTTCATAATTGGTGCCCATCAGAGCAATCATGACGAGAAACCTGGACAACGATAAATTACCATACATGCCGTATTATGTAAACTATAAATAGACAGAAAATCTCAATGGTAAATTCAAGCCGAATCAAGCTAAAACAATCAACATTAAGATCATATTTTGAGAGTTTTATTATTGTTTTATCGTTGTTCTTCGTACACCCATAGTTGACGGGCTAAAATCTATCAAATACTAATTTGAGTTTTGTCTCGACTACATCTAGATTCGACTGTGACAGGCACCTTGTTTTAGTGCATGAGTCTCGCAACTCGTAAGAGGATTTCTTACATATTAAGACTAAAATTTGTGACTTTGCTTAGGTAATATCATACAACTTACAATTTGAACAAGACATCTTGATAAATATAAAATCATTTTGTAAGATATATGAAATATGGAGTATTATTGTTATCAATTTTTTAACGGCGAGGATCTTTTGAGATTGTGTTTCAACGTCATATTATGACATCAGTTGAATTAGAGACACCTACAATAATTCGATCAAACCAAAAATTGATAATTCTAACGATTTAATTCTCGCGGTAAACCCTCCAAATCTGGCTTGACCCTAACACACCCCGCACTTTGATAGTTACTCTAATTTGATTTTTTGGATGAATTTAAAAGAATACTTGGTCGATATTCAAGAGGGGTTAGTATTCAGTATCTTTTTCTTTTGCCACCTAAAAAGGTTTGATTTGCATTTTAAAAAAGTTTGATTTGTTTACGGAGATGTAATAACTCAGTACCGAAGGGTGAATTAGTTTGCAGACAAGCATCATTTTCCCTTTTTTTATTACCCAGAATACACTCAAGTCCCGAAGGCTCTTTCTTTCTTTCCTCAATACAAAGTTGATTTGATGAGGTCCCTTTTTCTTTAGATTTTCTTCTCCTCCATTGCTAAATCTTAGAGAACTCTGAAGGAAAAAGATCCGATCTTTGTGATTTGAGGTACCAATTTTTTCTGCAAGGATGCTTATTTTCTTGGATTTTTGAACTGGCCCAGTGATTTTGTTTGGTGGGTTTGTTTCTCCCTCCATGGCCTTCTTTACTTTGTTTTATTAGCACATATGGGTCCGATCCATCTTTGTAGGGTTGCCATGGAAAAGAGCGTGGGTCATTTGCCCAAGATCTGTGTGCTCTCAATTTCCCCCCTTCTTATTTCCTCCATTTCCTTTCCCTTCTATTTATCTGTAGTTCTTCTCTTCTCTTGCTTTGTCTACTGAATCTGATAGTTCAAGTCTCTGAGTTTCTGATAGAGGTAGATTTCTTCCTATGATTACCTTCCCCTGTGATGAAAATTGATCTAACCCTCCTACTAGATTTCTGTTCTGGGAGTGAAATAAAGTGAGATTTCATCAGCTGTCAACTAGTTTTATGCAATTATGGGTCTTAATTACAGCCTATCTGTTCTTTATATTGCGTGTTGTGTGTTTAGCTGTTTTTCTTCTTCTTTCTCCTTTCATTTGGGCCCTAATTTCATCCTGTTATCCTGATATAGAAAGTATCGAACTTTTTTTTATTGCTTTTTTTAATGTTGACTTAGTTATATCGTACTTCTGTTAGCTGCACAATCAGTGTTTGTGTTGGGACATCTCAATTTACTCAACTTTTTGTGTGTAGATCACTGATCTATGTTATGCTAATTTCTCTTTTTCTCTTGGCTGCATATGCTACAGATCTTCTGTGATGATGGGTTTTCCTCTCAATCGAAGAGGGGTTTTCGAGTGACGTGTTTGGCTAGCTCTTCAAGATTCAATCTTTCTTCTTACACATGGCGTCGAAACCTGGTACCGATAGGCATACATCTTCAACAAGAATTCCAGAGAGTGGCAATTTAGAGAGTTTAAGGTCAAAAGAGTTTCTTGCCAACGACTTCGAGTCGAGCTTGAATTTGGCTAATTCCCAGAAAGCACCCGAAGCAAGATTTGATCCGGAAAAGAAGGCCTCAGGAGGAGGTGGCACACTCAAAGACAGCTCAGCCTCTGCAGAAGTTGGCAATGCCGACAACACTTTTGCAAAATCAAGTGGGATTGCCAAAACCAGCGAGAGTGGAAAGAGCAGCATGTACAGAGGCAGCACCAGCAGCGACTTAAGTGACGAAAGCACCTGCAGCAGTTTGAGCAGCGGCGCTAATAAACCCCATAAAGGAAATGACTCAAGATGGGAAGCCATACAGGCGGTCCGAGCCAGAGATGGGGCTTTGGATTTGAGACACTTCAGGTTGCTGAAGAAGTTGGGGAGCGGCGACATTGGAAGTGTGTATCTCTCTGAGTTGTGTGGCACAAACTGTTATTTCGCCATGAAAGTTATGGACAAGGCTTCACTGGCAGGGAGAAAGAAATTGATGCGTTCCCAAACAGAGAAAGAGATACTGCAGTCCCTAGACCACCCTTTCCTTCCTAGTTTGTACACCCATTTCGAGACGGAGAAGTTTTCTTGCCTTGTGATGGAGTTTTGCCCGGGAGGTGACTTGCACACGCTTAGGCAGAAGCAACCGGGGAAGCATTTTCCGGAACAAGCTGTCAAGTATGGCTCTTGATCTTGCTTCCATATATTCTACCTTCATTTTTGTCTTTCATGACTTTCTTTTCCTCTGCAAATGGCCTAGAGAAGGTTTAGAACTCCGAAAATGCTAGGGGATAGAAAATCGGGGAGGAAAGAGAATTTGTGAGAAAAGTATAGAGTTGGTTCGAACTCAATGATTCAATTTTCAGATATTTATTCAAACCCATAATGATAGGGAAAGAAAATAGGGATGAAAATAGGAAAATGTCACTCTAACCTCAGTAGGGATACACTAAGGTATGCACCATCCGACGCACAATCACGCATAGTTATTATTGTCTGTGAGACGCTAGCGGTGTCAATCTTGGTGTCATTTGTGGTTTTTGGTGTGTTTGTAACACAACCCACGAAAATAGAAGGGAAAGTTTGAAGGAGAGAAAGTGTGGGGGAATTGAATATTTGCTCAAACTCAATCGATTTGTTTCTTATATCTGTTCGGACCGTTTTATTAGCCTATTTGTATTATATAGAGACTATAAAATCTTAACATATGCTTTTAAAAAAACCATTAATCACATTCATTTTCCAACAACAAGAAAATGATTTTCACCTTGAATTTTTCCGAATCAAAACGTACCCCTAGGAATTCTTTTTCCGTAATCTAAACATAGCCCTAACATTATTTCTTTTTGAGGTTCTAAACACAGCCTTAATGTTTATTGTTTCTAAAAACATTTGTTATTTAGGCTCTAGGAAACAGCCTCCCCAGAGATCCTATTTTTTGTGTGATTTTACTGGGTTTATTGTTGTTGTACCCAATATTGGTTTTGAAATAATGGTTTTATTTACTATGGCTGGATTTCAGGTTCTACGTCGCGGAGGTTCTCTTGGCTCTCGAGTACCTTCACATGCTCGGCATTGTGTACCGCGACCTTAAACCAGAAAATGTTTTGGTCCGTGAAGATGGACACATCATGCTGACCGACTTTGACCTCTCCCTCCGGTGCTCGGTCAGCCCGACCCTGATCAAGTCGTCGTCCGCGTCGCTCGAGTCGGAGACGAAGGGCGGTTACTGCGTCCAGCCCTCATGCATCCAGCCGACCTGCGCGGTCCCCACTTCGTGCTTCGGGCCCCGCCTCTTCTCGTCAAAGAAGAAGAAGGAGAAGAAGGCGAAGAACGAGATCGGGAACCAGGTGAGCCCGTTGCCGGAGCTCATGGCCGAGCCGACCGGGGCCCGCTCGATGTCGTTCGTCGGGACCCACGAGTACCTGGCGCCCGAGATCATCAAGGGCGAAGGGCACGGGAGTGCGGTGGATTGGTGGACGTTCGGGATCTTCATCTTCGAGTTGCTCTTTGGGAAAACCCCGTTCAAAGGGTCGGGCAACCGGGCCACCCTCTTCAACGTCGTCGGGCAGCCGTTGAGGTTCCCGGAATCTCCGATGGTCAGCTTCTCTGCCCGAGACCTGATCAGAGGGCTGTTAGTGAAGGAGCCGCAGAACCGGTTGGCCTACAAGAGGGGAGCGACGGAAATCAAGCAGCACCCGTTCTTCGAAGGTGTGAACTGGGCATTGATCCGGTGTGCGAGCCCGCCCGAGGTCCCGAGACCGGTAGAGTTCGAGAGAATGCGGGCCCCGGTGGCGGCCAGTGACCCGAAAAGCGTCGCCGGAGATGTTCAGTGCCAACCGAACTCTGATAATTACCTCGAGTTTGATTTTTTCTGAAGTAGGCGGCCATGTGTTATTCTGGTTTGATGTTTTTTTTCTTCTTCTTCTTCTGAAATTGTTGTTGAAAAGGATACGATGATGTTCTTGAACGTTAATTAATGGTGACAAGAGATTCACAAATCAGAGTATATTGTTTTTGTGTTAATGATGACAAGAGATTCAAAGATCAGAGTAATGTTTTTGTGTTGATGAGAACAAAATAAAAAAAAAATTATATTGATGAGAATTTTTTTTTTAAATGTGTTGTGACTTGTGAGAACATTTTCTTAAGAAAATTATGTTGATGAGAATTTTTTTTAAAATGTTGATGATGACAAGAGATTCAGAAATCATGGTATTGTTTTGTGTTGATGAGAACAGAGTTTTTTAATTTAAAAAAAAGCTGGCTTAATTAGAAGTTTAATGTCTATGCAACGTGGCAATGGGGAGAGAAAAAAAATAAATGTTTGCGGTGAGCGTGGATCGAACACGCGACCTTCAGATCTTCAGTCTGACGCTCTCCCAACTGAGCTATCCCCGCTTGTTGCTCTAATCGTGTAACAACCTGTAATATAGGAACCGTGATATCGGCTGCTCGGTTTTTTGGAAGTACTTTTTGCTTATTTAATTTAGCGTCAACCCAAATACCCAATATTGTTATTCCCTTGCTTTTCTTTATAGCAAATTCTTAACATTTAAATTCGGTTATGACAACTTTTAATAGAATTTTTTCATTGTATTTGATTCAGAAGAAAATGATAAAAAAATTCTTTCATTTTTCTCACCAAAATAGAAGATATTCTATTTTTCTTCTTCTTACATAAGTGTTTCTTCCAATTCTCTTTCACTTCTAGTTTTCTTTTTTTCTTCACTAACCAAACATGAAAAATTATTTTTTGTATAGTTTTTCTTTAACCAGGCATAATTAATGTTCATATTAAATACCAAAATTTCAAGTATACCCCTTGTTTTTTGTACCAATTAAATATCTATTTGTTCGTATAAATAGTCTTGTTTCATAGTATATGTACGTTTTTTAAAATCTCAATGTGGAGAATGCAAAACTGAAAGATATTTGGAAGAAAAATTGTGATATTGAGAATAGTCTGAACTGTAGCTTTTTTTACTCCATTAAATTGTATGTTCGTTAAAAAATGTAGACATAGCCAATAATAGTAGTCTCTAGTGTTGGTGATCCTTTACATTATGTTTGGTTTAAAGAATTTGAAAGGAAAAGAAAATAAAATTGTTTTTTCTCATTTCCTCATCAAATAAAAGGAATCCTCTAGTTTTTTCTTTTCTTAGTATATTTTGCATTTTCTTTTACTCGTTCTTTTCTGCTCTAGCCAAATAAGAAATACTAATAATTTGATTAATTTCTACCTAATTCCCGTTGCATACTCCTTGAACCAAACGTAATGTTAGAGGCTCCTAAGTGATGTTAATTGAAGCTCACAATTCTAAAAAAAAAAGCATAACCACTAAAATTTTCAATTATAATTACTCGGGGAATATTTTTAGTTTTTTGCTGCTTTAACAAAATATAGTACACTTATCTTGTGACACCTATTTCTATATTTAAAAAAAATTAAACTGCTAAAATTTGTTTTTTTTTTTGAAATTAGACTTTATGGCTCAACTTTCTTTGCCATAAAGACTCTTTTTGGATATGAGTATTAGGTTGAAAGTTTGAAACAAAATTTAAACAATCTCACTGTTGGGGCCCTTCAAATGGCCTGTGTCATAATATGACATCGAGGATTCGAGGGTGGGTGTCCAAAGATTAGGGGGTAATAATCGTCAACTTTATGAACAGGGCACCAGAGCGTATCCCATGACATGTGGTTCCAATGTCATGAAAACCCCACCGTTACAAGTCTTACAACAAAGCCAAAACAATGAATGTGGAAGAGGATTTACTGCAGAAAAATTAATGCCAAGCGTTACCAAAGACACATTCCCACCCCCCATAGCATATTTTATTAGCCCCTCCTCTAACCCCCATTCTTCCACACAATATGAACTTTTACCATTTGTGGCAGGGAAGAATACTCTGTTTATAAACAAGAATGGAGCCCATGGCCATAGTTGTCTTCACAGGTGGAGTCATAGCACAGGTCGGCATCATCTTCGCCTGGTGCCGCCCCATCTGCAGATGCATTTGGAGGTTCGTTGATTGCCTGAGACACCCGCGCCCTCCACCTCCCCACCTCCAAGCCGTGGCGGCTGAATCCATCTTCAACACCTTAACTGAGAGATTCACCAGTTGAAAGGCATAAAAAAAACTTTCTCAAGAATGTCTTCTCAATCTTCTATACACAATTTGCCCAACTTGTTTTTTTTGTTGAAAAGTCGATTTGATCTGGTGAGATGTTAGGCCTAAGTTAGCGCTCATACATGTTTGGTTTTCAATGATGAGGATATTTTTTTGTCTTTTGACTAAATTTTGGGCTTATTTTCATACTCAATTTAGTCACCAACTTGGTCACCTATGTAACACAGCATTTATGAATGAGGACTAAATTGAGTCTAAATAAATTACATGGTACTAGTCTGTATATATCGCACTCTAATAATAAAGTCTGCGAGGGACAAAATGTACATAAACCTTACATCTACTCCTTGAGAGAATCATATTCACAAAGCTTTAGAATAACATAGATTAGATACACAGTCTTGATGGACACAATATACAGAACTTAGTGGTTTTGTATATTACACGAAACACATTCCGACTAAATTTACAATCACAACTACGTAGTATGACACCAAAGTGCAGAAGGGTAAAGTTACTTGTGTTGTTTGAAGCAGCTGAATGTGAAAGCAACTGACATGGCAGCAACAATGACAGCAAGAACTGCGTAAGTATCTTCACGCACCCAGTGTTCAGGCCACGAAGGTACAGAGCAAACTTTGCGTACCTGAGATCCATTAGGGCCCTTACTTCGTATCCTCAAACTCTTTATGCTTTCAAGTTTAAAGTTTGACACCTCGCCATCATGAGCGTAATTGGTTCTTTGGTCCGGTAATGGACTGCTCTTTTGACAACAAAGAAAGCTCCCGTTTGACGGGCAACATTGTGTACTACCATCCGCCTGAGATCCACACGTGCCGTTGATTGGCTGTTGGCTTGAATGAATATATTTTTCTAACCCACTTTCCAGGTAGGACTTGCCATTGACTTGGAGCCTTAGTCTCTGAGACTTTTCTTGGTCATCCTCTGACAGTCCCATCTGTCCCCTGAAAAACCAGATAGAAGTGTATGGGAACGGAAATGGCTAGGAAATGCCAAAATCACCCTCAAGAGAGAAATGGAAGAGGGGTTGCTAACAGCCTCTCGCACTATCACTTATATAAGCTATATTTTTTCAAATGAAAAACATTGAAAAAATAGAAACACCTCATGCTTCATTATGGACACAACTCAAATGTAACAGCTAAAGATATTTACCTCCACATGAAATCCACAAGTTCTCCCTTTCCAATATGGTGCTCCAGCAAGGTAGGAACATCATCTGGAGACACATACCCATACCTATAATAACATGTGAAGAGTTAAGATACATTCACTCAATTGCGTTTGCGACACAGTTAGAATACAGCACCCAAACATTAGAATACAACATAGTAAAGTGTGCCAAAAGTGGAGTGTAAGGAGGGAGGGTGTACATATATGGTATGCCTTATCAGCTTATCCCTACCTAAAAGGACAAAATAAGAATAAGAATAGAGACTAAATTGACAGAGAGATGATAGTTACCAATGCCCTGATACATCCTTGCTACCACTAGGCCCAAATATGATGCAATTCCCAGCATACTTGTGGCCACCAATGTGTGAACATGGGCTAACGGACACTTTACCTTTAAGCCCTCGTGACTCTATCTCCTCTTTAAACCTATTAACTATGGGTGGCCCACAATAACCGGACCTGCGATCCCTTGTACCATGACAGCATACAAAAACATACCATCCCCTAAGAGCTTCTGGAGTTCCAGGCAACCATACACAGTCTTTCACAAGTACCTCCTCAACAAATGTATCCACATCAAAATGAGTCAATCTCCTGCAGTTTTAGATTTAAAAAAAAAACTCTCAGGGCTGGTTTGGTTCAGTGAATTTGGAGGGGAGGGATGATTTTTGTTTCACTAATTCCTCTTTATGTGTCCGTCTTAGATTAAAAGTACATACTCCCTCCATCCCCAATTTGATTACAAATTGCGGGTTACGAGGAAAAATTTCTCACTTTTTGAAATCATTTTATTTACAAATTGGTATATCAATAAGATATAAAAATTACAAATAAAAAAACTACGTCAAAAGTTCTACAAAACAAGAGGTGACAAGAATATTTTATTTTATCAAATACTTAATGAAATCGTGTAAATAAACAAAAGTTATCGAGAAGAGAAAAAAAATTGTAATCAAAATAGGGACGGAGGGAGTATATGTTTAGTTAAGTCACATATTTCTATATACGAGCAGTTTTTTAACTTTGCATTCTTTCCAACCATCTAAATATATAAGAGTAAAAACATAAAATAAATAGCATAGCTTCCCTTCCCTCCATCTACATGTATAAAGGCTTATGTGATGGCAATGAAAAAAAACCCACTATAATCCCAACTTTGTTGGGGTGTCAAGGGGTCAAGATATATGAAACCTTAAACTGGTAAAAAACAGAGCGGTTTCCCCTAAAAACCCTTGATCCAATTATTGTCCAAAAATGTCATAGAAAGTAAGAAGCAATGGAGTTTAATGTGTCATTTGATATATTCCATTATTTACCCAAAGCAAAAACGTTGTCAAAACGACTATCTTAGCTCCATTGGCATTAGGCACATGAGAATGAAACTAAGCTTCCAAATAAATCACATATCTGTCACTATCCTGACCTGTATCTGATCATGTCCGGAAAGATTAACACATCCCCATTTGATGTCTCAGTTCCATCACGTCCTTCACATATTGTCAAACGGGTCTTAAAGTGAAAAAAGCAAATGGTCAATCGTCATATCTTGGTCATATCCACAAACAAATATATCCCTATTTCTTCCCCTGGAATAAAAATTTGTTGAAGCTCCCCTTCCCATCTAAAAATACCCCTCTTCTTAGTTCTTACATAGGGTTAGTCAAGAATCAAGATATAAGGTCCTCTGTCTTCCTTCACTTCCATAAGATTCAATATATAAGCCACCCTATGCAGTGAATACAAATTTACAGGATAACAGAAGCATCAAAATAGAAAGAAACCCATCCAGAAACAACCCAGCAGTGACATATACCAGAAACTAAAAGCCAATATGGGAAGTATTCTTCGTGGTATTGAGCTTGAATACATAAATAACTTTAAATTCTAAGTGTTATGTCAATAGTGTGATAGATCAGTTGGTGTCCTATGTATTTGTATTCTTGAATTATAGACAATAGCTTGACAATATTGTGCTAGACTGCAATATCATTTAACGTCCAACCTACTGGTTTTCCCCTCATTTATATGCTTTTAACATTATCTTTCCAATCAGAAAAAGGGGGTTGATATGTATTTAAAAAATTATGTGCTCTAAATTATAGATTCAAGAATAAAGAACATAGAACAGCTTTTATTTTATGATAATAATGTGGCTTATTACGCATGGTTTTGAGAATATCCTCAATCCTCATTACTACGGAGTATATTTCAAGTGCAGGTTAAGAGGGGTGTAGCATAGATTTACGCCATCCACCCTTGCTTTTACTCAACGGCCCACTGGCTAGCTGTTGTTCAATACTCCCTCCATCCCAAAATTAAGTTATCCACTTTGAAAAGTGAAATGTGAGTGTCTAGAGTTTGTTTATTTTGTTTACAAGAAAGAAGTATTTGAGACCACCACAACAACAATAGCCTAGTTGGATCCCATGAAAACGAAGTAAAGTAGGACCCAAAGACAAAGTATTCAACACATTACTACTAATGTTATATTCAGACCAAAAGAAGCATATAATATGTGTAACACAAGTGAACTGACTTAACAGGTTGACGATCCTTGCATACATGCAGCTTCTAGTTGGTGTCCATTGGGGTTGGTTCAAGTGAAAAAATAGTTTATCAATTATCAGTACTTGTCTAGCAAAACAGGGAATCTAGGACACAAACCATATGTAACAGAGCCTCCCTAGGTCCGTTTTTTATGGCGCAGTTTGACCAGGAACGGTATTTTAGAGAACGTAAGTTGTGGTTCGAGTTTATTTAGAAGAGAGAGAAATGATATGAAGAACTCCTTAAAATGAAGGATAAGTTTGGCATGAACTAAAAAAATGTGTGAACATAATTTAGGGAGGGAAGGAGTTTCTAATACTCTAATCGCTTGAGGAACTGTCATTGTAAGCATGCAAATGAAGTCTAAATTCTTTAATTGCTTTTATGCTTCTCCCTTTTTCTTCATAACACCACCAAGGCACCAACAACAACAAAACCAGTAAAATCTCACAAAAGTAGTGTCTCGAGGGGTTGTGCATACTCAAACCTTACCCCTACCCCTACATGGTAATAGAGAGGCAACACAAACAATTAATCACTGAGACAGTAACCTAAAGATTGCAACTGCTAATTTTGGCATCAACCTAGGCAATTAGTTTATGAAGAAGATTTTGAAATAGTATGAATGGAGCCTAAATTTGAAACACAATGGGTATCAGAATGAAGGAAGGAACCCCCAAATTAGCAGAATAATCACAAATGAAGCAGAAATCGATGGAGCTGAAACCACAAATCACCAAATTCAAAGTAAATTGAAGACGAAACAATCAACAAACCTTCCGTTTCATATCAGCCCTGCGAGCAGACAGAACAGCAGCTAGAAGCCTGGGCAAGCGATCGAACTCAGTGGCCTCGATGTGGGGAGGCCAGACCTGGGGGTTCTTGTAGCAGAGGAAGACGTGGCGCTCGTAAAACTCGACGGTGCCAACCAGAGGGCTCTGCCGGAAATCGGGTCGGGAGAAGCCGAACTCCGCGTCCCCTCCGCCGGCGACATCGAGTCCGCCGAGGAAACTCTCGTTCTGGAAGCTCCCGGAAGCGCTCCCGATCTGAGAGCCGTCTAGGAGGTAGCTGTCGGCGTCTGACACGGCCACCGGAGAGGACGCCGACGCGAGAGGATTGATCATGAATGCAAGAGGATCGTCTCTGTTGCTGGTGGCCATTAGTACGGAGAAGAAGAGTGCGTGGAATGTGTTTGACACGGGTCCTCACTCCTCACCAGTCACAGCGCAGTCCAGTGAGAGAGGGAAGAAGAGTAGTCAAAAGAGACAGTTAAATCTTGAACAAAAAGCTTATGATTTTGACACTTTAGTCACTTTACCAATTTCCGCCCAAATATACTGAAAATCCACCTCAATTCACCATAGAGATAATAATTATTTGTGAATTTGTATACATATCGACAATAATTGTTTGTGCACACAAACAACTATTGTCTGTGTGTGTGTGTATATATATATATATATGTATATATATTCACATATGATTACTATCGTGATATTGAATGAGAGAGATTTCTAAAAGGGCTTATTTTCACACAAAAAATGTTAAATTCGGTCCAATTCTTATCTCACTTTGTACATCAACTTCATTCTTTTGGAAACATTCACAAACGTTAAAAAAACATTTTGAGGAGTAATTGTATCTTTTAATTGTCTATGAAAAGTCGGGTGAGAGGTAGAGTAGAGAATTTCTGACATCATTTATTCTACCAACATTTATAAAAGTGACTGAAATCAAATGAGATATATTACGGAACAAGTGACTTGCTCCGTACATTTTGATAAATTTTTGCATGAACATAAGTTTTATACAAGAAACTTGGATCTTTTCATAGAAACAATAAATTATTACGGAGTATATGAATATGCATTTATTTTTTCCATTTATTAGTTTTTCAACATCTTTTTTATCATTAACCTCCCTATTTAGGGAAAGGGAATTGTTCATGTTTAATCGGCAATATACGAATAACTATTTCTATTTTTTGTAACTATTTTTATTTAAGGAATTACTTTACGCCGAGTCTAAATTATTTGAGTCTAAAAAATGAGCTTGATTTACATTGCATGAAGAATTTAAACTTGAGAATGAACAGGTTATATGCAAAGATGCATTGTTCATTGCATCACAATTAGCCTCGAATATGCACTTATATGTCCATTTTTGCCCTCATTCAACAATAGAGTTGGAGACTAGAGTTAAGCTTTCGCATTTTGGAATAGATATCTAAGGATTGTCTTTGGATTTAGCGTTTAAACCCAAGAATGATATCAACTTTGCGACCGAGACAATGATGTCAGCTTTGGTGTCATCTATGATATGATGACCCATATCTAAAACGCCAACACTAATTACACACTTTGTTTCCAAAGAGGCCCTCAACCAATCATCATACAAACTTCCAGCCAGGATAACAATAAGAGTAGAAAACAAGAAGCAAAAAGGGGTTCCACAAAAGTTTGAGATATACATTCAAGATTCAACCACTAATATTTAGTCTGAGGTAGTTCCTCATTTACCAGATGGGTTTCTCTCCAGGGAGGTAAGAAGGAGAACCACCCTCAACTTGGTTTACCCTTTTACTGAACATCCCACTGAGGTTAGCCCTTAACACCTTCTTCTCTTTTGGGTTCTTTTTCATTGGCTCCTCAGTGGCCGTCTCTGCAAGAATACGCGACGCAGTTTCTGCTGCTTTCTTTTGCTCCCTTTCTCGCCACCTTCGCAGCTCTCCCTCCACTGCCCTTTTTGCAGCTTCAGCCATCTCTGCCCTCTTCAGTGCCTCTTCAGTGGCAGCTTTAATGTCATTGATCTCCTTCTCAGTAGCCTCCAGCCTCTTGACTGCCTCATCCTCACTTGCTCTCACTGCATCCACCTGAGCCATTGCAGCTCCCACTTTCATCTCTGATAATCTCTCGGATTCTTCTACTTTTCGGCGTAGGGAATCGTATTCGTCTTTGGATAGTGTGATTTGGGCACCGGACTCGGATGTGGAGGCGCGAGCTGCACTGGTTCTCTCTGAGAGATTCTTGATCAGATTGAGAGCCTTGGCTTCGGCTGCTTTTGCTTCTTCAGCCTCTTCCAGTGCAGCTTTAAGCTTCCCCTCAGCTTCTTCCAGTGCAATTCTGATGGTTTCGCCTTCTTTCTTTACTGATTCCCTTTGGGCTTTCGAATCTTGTGTTTCCTTTTTGGCACTTTCACACTCTGATCTGAGTTGGTGGAGGGTAGTGATCATTTCCCCAGAAACACCTCTGACTTTCGATTCTTCTCCAAGTGCTGCTTCAAGCTCGGCCTTGGCTTTCCTTAGCTTAACATGAAGATTCCCCACGAGTGATTCAGTTTCTACTTCCTTCTCCTTCAGCTCAGAGTGTTCTTTCCTCACATTCTCCAGCTCCAGTTTGAGATTCGCCAGCTGAGTTCGCAACAAATTTTCTTCTTCTGCTACCTTGTGCAGTGATCCCTTGGCACCATCCAGTTCTGCAGTGACAGCCCGAACTGAATCAAGATCTGAAGACCTTGCAGTATCCATTGCCCTTTGAAGCGATTCTATCTGTGACATTGTTTCCCCTAGCTGTGTTTCCATATTTTTCGTGAGCTGGGGATGGATCTCGTCACTTAAAGAAGCTAACTTTTTAGCTGATTCTTCAAGGCTGGACTTGTATGCCTGTTTCTGAACATCCTTCTCCACATAGATTGCAGCTTCTTCTTCCTGCACTTTTAAACTGGCAAGTTTTACGAGCTGGATTGAATCCTGCAGAAATGTAATTTCCTTGGAAAGCTCTGCAGCTTTTTCAGAGTTGGACATCACAGATTGCTTTGCTTCTGCTTCTTGATTCATAGCTGCTGATTTCACATCTTCTGAAGCATTATAATCCTGGCGCATTTTCCTCAGCTCTTTCTTTGCCCCATCAAGATTGGATAATGCAGACTTATATTGGTCACTTGCGGTTTCCAAGTCCAGCTTCCAAGAGCCGTCACTCATCACTTTAGAATAGCTATCGACATGATTCTTTGCCGCTTCAGAGTCCATAAGTGCAGAATCCTTTGTTTCAGAAACTATTTTAAGCTTTGAAGTCAGATCCTCAACGGCTTGTTTAGCCCTTTCAAGCTCCGCGAGTGCTTGGGCTTTTGTGTTTTCTGCATTCTTCAGCTTTTCCTTTAATTTGTCTATCTCTTTCTGTGCCAAGTGTAGCCGTGTTTCCTTTGCTATTGCTCTCTGGAAACAAATTAAAAAACAAAGTGATTGGTACTACCACATGAGGCAAGAATACAGATCTGTGGTAAACAACGGGAGTAATTTGGAACTCATCAAGGATCTGTTAGTTCACAAGAAAATATTTTCATTGATTCTCAGGATTTTTTGGGCCAAACATTATATTATACTAGTACATATAGCAACTGGTTTTCCCGGAAAAGGTTATCCGCTAAAATAAACAAAGCCTTAATGAAAGATATGGAATAACGGGGATTTCAAAGTACGATTATTTGAGTAGTACATCATGTACATGAGTAGTTGCCTTATAGCATAACAAATCCCAACAATTTTCCGACAAACTTAAAAGTAGAACAACTAACTTAAATTAGTGAGCAAAATAGGAAACCATTTAAAAACTTATAAAAACCTGCCTCTGCATAATGAGGTTTTGGCCTCTTAATTGCATTTCTCTCCCCTGAGAAAGCGCCTTCACCGAACAAATTGACTGCGTCTTTGACCGACTGAAACGGTGCACTTGTGTCTATTTCTCCAACTTCCCCTTTTGGAGATCCCTTGGTGGCTTTCTTGAGGTCTTTCGCAACCATGTTCTTTCTTTTCTTATTTTGGTATTACCACCTATAAAGATCACCCAAATGAATCTAAAAAGGACACCCATAAGTGGAAAGATTGAGTTTAACATAGCAGATAAATACAATGTTAAACACTGATTTCCACACTAATTATACCCTTTTTGCACCCTCTACGAAACCTTGGATTACTAAAAGTGAACACTATAACCCACTAATTATACTTTTTTTGCACTCTATCTTGGATTACTAAAGATCTAAACCAGAAAACCATAATGGAATGGGCTTAAAAGCATTTTCTTCGGAGCCAAATTTAGAAGAAAAAAAACAGCAATACACAAAGTCACAAACATAAGATATGTATTAACAGTTCACCCAACCTAACATTACAAGAATTATGCAGATTCAAGAATACCCAAATGTTTATATTTCATAAAGACTTGGACTTTCGATGCATAAATTGCAGCATAAATAAACATGCCCTTGCATCATATTTCCCGAAGCAAATAATCCCCCAATTAAGCACTTGAAAAAATCAGGAGAACAAAAATAAAAGAGAGGGAAAACGTAAAGAAAACACATACAGATGAGTGAGTGTGACCAAAATCAAAAGTTAAGATTTATGAAAGGGCCCAACAAAAGAACCCTAAATTCATCAAGCTCTTGAAGTTCTGCAAAAAAGAAAAAACTCACAGGTTAGGAAAGAAGAAGAAGAAGAAGAAGAAGAAGGTGGAACAGTCTTTTGGAAGTCAAGAATATCCCAAGCCCAGAAAGGAGAAAAGTTGCAACCTTGAAGATTCTACCAGTCTAAAACAAACACCTTTTTTTGTTAATTATGTTACGGGGGCGAAGAATCAAGAAACTGGGAAGAGAAATAGAGATTGAACAGTGGGGGAGAGGAAGCTGGGGTGAGAGACAAATTTAATATACTGCCATTATTGGCATCATCAGGTCGTGAGAATCAAAGGATGGGAGAGGGCGACAAGGGAGCCAGGTCAGCCGCGACATGGATGAAGATTGGAAGAAGAGAATCAAAATGGTGATATTGAAATTGGGAAGGAGGCAATGGGCCAAGCGGGAATTCTCTTTCTTTGCGGTCATGTTTATCTCGTGCCTCTTTGACCCGACCCGATTGTTTTGTGTCTGTTTGGTTTGGTTCCATGAAAATGGTCCTAAAGCTTTTATCTTGTGTGACTGAAATTAGTCCTCCTTTCTCCAAAAAAACATTCTTACTTTGTTCTATTTTAGAGCATTGATAATGACATGTAAGAAATAAAATAATACGCGGTGAATATCTAATCAATTAATCAAAAATAGTGTAGTCAGCGTGTGACACGGAAGTGGAGTAACATGTCATGCAATGACAAGTCATTATTTTTATCAATTTTACATTTTTTTCACATATTTTAATTATTTAAATTTATTTTATTTATATTTTTTTCAAATAAAAAATAGATATACTCCTTTTAAAAATATTTCTTATTTAACAAAAAAAAATTAAAAAAAGTAGTAAAAAAAAGGAAAGGGAGTCGCATCTCGCATGACACGGAGAAAGGGGTGAAATTCTTGTGCGTCGCCTCATCCACGCGTGGCGTATCTGATGTGGCAGGGCGTGGGAGTAATTCACCACGCCGCTACACATGCTCTTACTAAGTTTAAAAAAATTATATGATGGAAGTTTGTAAAGAATAAAGAGAAATAATGTAAAAAACAAACATTTTTTAAGGCCGAAGTTTCTTTAAACTGGAAGAGAGTAATTAATTAATTTAATTACATTCTATCTAAACATAGCTACGATATGCAAAAATAATGATTTGACATTAATTTGAATTAGGTTGATATAGTGCCTAATAAAAAAATTGTTTAAATTGTTTTGTTAAGTTAGGAATAGAGAAGTTAGTTTGTTTGCAATTTAGTCATAACGAAGAATAATTTAGCTGAGATCACAACAATGAAAAATCAAGATTGGATTGGAAATGTTAGATATATAGTAGTACATACAATTTAAATAATCATTATGTATTATGGAGTATTAATTGAGTAGTACATACAATTTAAATAAAAACGTTGAATATTTGTTTAAAGGTTAGACATAGTAATTAGTGATCAACACAAACAATTATTTGTAGGAAACAAATATCTTTCCACAAAAGAAAAAAATATGAGAAAAGTGAATTTTATTTTGTGATTGAAAAAAATGTTCTTGTGAATTAAACTTGAGAAAGAATGTACAACACTACCTATAAGATTTGGTCTTTTTGCCAAGTTAAGTGCAGATTCAAGAATATGCTCAAACCTAAAGATTCCTACTCTAATCAACCAATGAATCAAACAATCCTACAACCGTTTCAAGCACTTGAGAAATTTTACTAAGGAACAAGAAACAAAAACCAAAACCAACACAAGAGTTGTAAAAACAAGTGCCACAAAACCCAGAACAGAACCAAAGTATATCACCCCAGACAACTAAACCAAGCAATGGCTAGCAGTTAACTCCATGAATGAACCAAATGACTTCCTGTCTTCTTCTTCTTCTATCTTGTGGTCATCACTCCTGCATTCGAATCACCGGGCGAAGGCCCTGCTGCCCTCTCACGAACCCATCGAAAGCCTCGTTGATCTCCGAAAGTGCCACTTCCCCTTTTATAAACTTGTCCAGCTCCAATTCCTGTTCCAAACCATCCATCCAATCAAACCATTCATCCATAACAAAAAGACATAACCAAAGCTATTGTATCCATATATATCTATATACCTGGTTCATGTACATTTGCACCAGTTGAGGCAACTGAGACCGGGCTTTGTAGTTCCCAAAGAAAGAGCCAGTGACTGTCCTCCCCTCAACCACTTTTTCCGTGTCAAGCCTCAACCTCTTGCATTCCATATTCGGCACCCCAACCAGAACCGCCATGCCCCACCCCTACAGACAAATCGTGCCACATTTATCTTAAATTTCGACCTGTCACGCATAAAGAGAGACATGGGTACCTGATGAACGCATTCAAATGCGGCGATCATCGCTTCGGTTTCTCCACTGCATTCCACGCTCCGGTCGGCTCCTCCATCAGTCATGTCTGCAATGACTTCTTGAACCGACTTGTCGTACTGCAGATGGTTCAGACACACTGTAACCCCGAACGCTAGCGCTGCAACAACAAATAAAAAAACATCTGTGGGTCATTTCTGTTTTCTCCATCAAAATGTGCTGACTGAAAGAACTAGTAAAAGTAACCTCTTGTGAAAGTGGAAGGATCAGTGTCAACTCCTATGATCTTTGAGGCACCAGATATTCTTGCTCCTTCTGCAGCCTGAAATTAGGAACAAAGTTAAACCACATTTCACCTTCCAAGGCATTACAGTATCATACATAGACAACTAAAGGCACTACATACTGCAAGTCCTACGTCTCCCAGTCCGAAAATAGCCACCGTGGAGCCCCGTTTCGGTTTAGCAACATTCAACACAGCACCCAAGCCTGAGGCACAAGAAAAGTTACAAAACCAATTATAATGCAACAAGAAAATAAAAAGCTCTGTCTTTTGGGATACCTGCAGCAATTCCGCATCCCAGAACGCAGATCTTGTTCATAGGAACCTTGGGGTCGAGTTTGACAAGACAACCATAGTTAACCACTGTGTACTCGCTGAAAGTGGAAGTGCCGGCAAAGTGATACACCGGGACTCCATTGTAAGAAAACCTCGACTTGTCGTCAACTCCCAATGTGGTTTTTTCCGGCTCGAAGGTCAGAAAACTGCACAGATTGCTCTCCTCCGACAAGCAGTGGTCGCACCCCCCGCATTCCCCTGTGAACACCGTCAGGACGTGGTCCCCAGGCGCCACCTCAGTAACGCCCTCTCCGACGCTCTCCACGATTCTAAAAATCAAGCCTTTACGTTTATTACAGGTTATCTTTGAATGAACTCGACATGAGTTTCAGAAAATATACATACCCTGCTCCTTCGTGGCCCAGAATTCTGGGAAAGATACGGTTAATCTGAAAACACGATCAAGAAACAGAGTGGATAAGAATAATCGATCAAGAAACAGGAGGGATGAGCCGTAATCAATCAAGAAACAGAGTGGGTGAGCAATCATGGATCAAGAAGCAGTGGGGCAATGGGGAAGATGAAGATATGGGTAACCATTACCGACCTTGTGGAATTTCCAGTAGTGTATATCTCCTTTACAGAGGGAAGTGAACATGACTTTGATCCGGACTTCATTTTCCTCAGGCGGCGCCACCTCCACTTCCTGAATCTGCAGCGGCCGATTGTGACCCCACGCGAGGGCAGCTGCGCGGGAAGAAAAAAGAAACGGGTCAATGGGTTTCTTGAATCGCGAAAAGGGGTTAAAATCAAAGGTGGCGACTTTGATTTGAGAAGGGAACGAGAACGGATATAGCCGGCGGCGGTGAACCGGAGGAGTGTTTAATACCTTTGCATTTGATGACTTTTCCGGCGGTGGTCGTCGCCATTGCTGGCGGGGGTTGAGTTTCTTGATGTTGAAGAGAAGCGGAATGAGTTGTGGAAATCTTTCTTTCTTGAAATTGGAGGGAGAACTTAACAACAAATGAGCCGTTCGAGTGATGTGAAGCCACGCGCGTTTATTTATACTCCTCCGTACAAAGAAAGAAAGAAACCCGAAAAAAGAATCAGTTCGCAAACGAGTCGGGCAGGGCATCCATGAAACCAAGCCATTGGGACCATGGCCCGTTTGGGTGTGCTAACCAAGTAAATTATCACAAATGGTAAAATTAAATGGATGAGGTTGAAATGGGAGTTTTCTTCGTTTAAGTTTCATGGAATTTAAAAAAAAATGTTTTAAAATATGAAAAAAAATGTAATTAAAACTTAGAAGTGGATGAGAGGAGAAAGAAATGTTTTGAGCTACGTTCTTTTCTTAAAAAAGAAAGTTAAAATCTTCCTCACACGAATAAAGTATAAAAAGAATGAAAATCTTCATGGAACGGAGGGAGTACAGAGCACTACTTATGAGAACAAATACTGACTAACACATTATTACCGATTTTTTTTATTTATGTGATAAATTAGTATAAATTTGTCATCTTATATTTTATGTAGAGTACAATTATTAAAATAAATCTTGATAATCAAGATGAGAGTTCTCATTGTAAGTTAAGAACTAGTGGCAGACTCGCGGTCCAGCCCTGCTTTCTCAGGGCCCCAATTTTAAAAAAATAGTTCGGAGTATTAAAATTAGGTCCATATTAGTTGAACCTTAATTGAGTCATTCTAATTTTTAAATAAATTGATTTAAAATAACTTCGATCACACATCGTAAATCAAAATAGATACGAAATACTATAAATTAGAACCGAGAGAGCGTACATATACTCCCTCCGTCCTCATTTTGATTACAATTTTTTTCTCCTCCCCTCTCAATAAAGTTTGTTTATTTACGCGGTTTCATTAATTGTTTGATAAAATAAAATATTCTTATCAACTCGTGTTTTATAAAACTTTTAACGTAGTTTTTTAATATGTAATTTTTATTTCTTATTGATAAATAAACTGATTCTAAAGAGTGAGATGTTTTTTCCCGTAAACCTCATTTTGTAATCAAACTGAGCACAGAATGAGTATAAAAGACCTTTCCAAAAATAAAATGTGTGTTGAACTAAAAAAAATGCGTGTTTAATTTAATTCGCGGGGAATCTGCTAGCTAGCGTCCCAATGAAATGGGTTAGCCTTTGAGTCAAAATGGGTTCGAGACCATGACCAAGATTGTTTTGACGCCCTCCTAGGGTGCTCCCCAAGTAAATAACCAGATGTGGTAAAAAGTAAAAACCATTAGTGTGCTAAAAGTGGAAATTCTGCTTATATATAAGAAGGAATATAGAGAGATAATGAAACTCAGGAGAAAAGGGTTTCTACATTGCAAGCAGCAGAGTAAAGAAGAAGAAGAAGAAGAAGAAGAAGAAGGAAGAAGAAGAGGAAGAAAAGCTTCGAATCGGTAAATTCTTTCATTCCTTTAGACTTTGAAACCCAATTTTCGAGTTTTTTTACTGTATTTTTTCACTTTTTTAAGAGTGGGTAAATATGAAAACGTTTGTCTGTGATATTTCTTTTATTAAAAGCTTCTTCTAACGTGATAATGGGTGATTATGAGTAATGGTTTTGACATTGCATATCCTTACCAAATAGAGAATAAATACCCTACCGGAGTACTTTTTGTCTTAAATTGACTGAATTTTTTTAATTTTTATCTAAAAAGGTTTTGTTCTTTTCACTTAATCTCAATTATTTTGATCTAATTGAAATAAATCTTGATATGGTTCCATCTGATTATAGTACGGAGTAATATTTAAAATTGTTTCTGATCTTTATCTGATTTCAGTAAGGATAAGTAATAAGAATAAGGTGAAGAAAATATTTAAGTCTTCTTTCATCCCACTTAATTTTTCTACTTTTTATAATTCTTATGAGAATTATATCAAATCAAGATCAATTTAGATCTAATAAATTTAGACGAAAAGAAAAGAGTCTCAACTTGTTATCTAGTTGGATCTGATATTTTATTTCATTGAGATCTAATTTTTGGTACATACATACATGATACATACCATAACATTCAGGGGCCCCACTAGTTGAGGGCCCTAGGTGCCCGCATAGTTGGCCTGGCCCTAGAAACACACTTGAGTGTGTTATATAGTTCGACTTCAATGTCAACTAAAATTGCGGGGTACAATTGGCGTGGGGATGAGTTAGGATCGGTACTGGGCGGGGTGCTTAGGCGGGGTACGAATCATCAATTTTACGAACGGAGAATTGTAGGTGCCCGTAGGGGAGTAGTGGCTTCCGTAGCCACTGGAATCTAGTGGCCACGGAACCAGGCCGATAAAACATACTCTGTATCTATGTAGTTATCTATACGTACTGCTGCATGTGTAGTACTTTAGTATGTATGGTATTATACTATACAGGGAAAACAAACATTACATTTGTCAATATACTCCGTACATACTATATAATACAATAGTTTCATGATAATTAGAGCTTACACATGCACTACTGTCTTGATCATGCAGGTAGAAGCAATGAATATCTTCGAAAGAATAGAGAGATGGGCGAAAGTCCTGAGCTTGTGTTTCCTATATTCGGGTGTGCTCTGGCCCTCTTTCCACGAGTACCGGACGACCACATGTGGCTCGTGTTCCTCATAGATAGGCTTCTTCTCGGCATCCACATGGATTTCTTTCCGAGAGGGTTGGGCTGAGGAGGAGGAGTCCCTTATTAGAAGAACTCATCATTCAGACTGAAGAAGCCAAGTATTTGTTGCTAAACATGTTATATTCTTATTAAGTTTCTCGTACTTAACTAAAGTATATAATATAATATACTCCGAAGTGATTCTAGTTTGCTGTTCCATGAAATTAAATGGAAGTTTCAAACATCTGTGGATATATATATATATATATATATATATATATATATATATATATATATATATATATATATATATATATATATATATATTATTAAATGATATGCTCTGGTGTTGGTCACATACAATAAATAGTCTAGCCTAGCTGTATTTTTCCTTTACTTCTACAGCCCAGTTAAAAGGTCATGGAGAAGGTGAAATCAAAGTTGATACCAAAATTTGTTTATGTCGCATTTTGGCAAATAGGGACCTTTTGGTACCACGCAAAAAAAAATTGGCAAGACCCTCTGTGCGTTTGCCGAACATATTGTCAATTGTGTCTCTCTGTCTTTTTGTTTCTCTATGTACATTACTCCTTCCGTCATAAGCCGTTCTTCTCGGTAACTATTCACATTGTCAAATTTTAATATTTTTTTTTAGTGAAATTTGCACTAAATAGTACTAAAACATATGTCATTTCTCAATATAGTACTTAAACTTTTTTATTCTCTAAATAGTACTTGAATAATGTCTAGTTGGAGATTAATGCTCTGTGATGGTAGACATTTCATTTGAACAATAACCAATAGCGCTGAACAATTACTTGAACAATGATCACTGGATAATAACCAGTGATACTTTATTGAGAAATAAAAACATATGATATTATATTGGGAAAGACACTATGTCTTAGTACAATTTATGTAAATTCCCCCCCTTTTTAACCAATTTTCGTTACTTATTTGATAAAACAATATAGTTTTGTCACATTTTGTTTTGTAGAAATTTGAATGTCGTAGTTTTTAGTATATACTGCCTCCTTCCCACTGTATTTGTCCACTTTCATTTTTACACACTATCCAATACACTTCTTTAATCCATTTTATCTTGTAATTTGTATATTAAAAAATTATAGAAATTATATATTAATAATCTATATGTTAAGACAAATCAAACAAGATCACACATGACTATATTTAGGCTTACACATTGAGAGAATTTGATGAGTCAAAGTACTTAGATGAACTAGACGAATACTCCGGGACGGAGGGAGTAAGTTTTATTTTCTAATTTTACAACTAGGATGAATTTTACAACTATAAGTTTTGAGCTTTTTGATCGCTATAAAAAAGTGATGGTAATTTACCTTCTCTTTGGCCCTACATTCTTTGCTCCTTCTTACAAGTTCAGTTGGATTATTGTTGTGGCTTTGGAGTTGGTCACACTTGCATTCTATGTCTCCCGAGGATATTTGTTCAGCCCTGACCCATCCTAATAACTTTAGTCAAACATCGTAACGCGATACGAGAAGATAATTTTTGGATGAAAGGAGTACATGCTACATAACATAACATTTAGGGGCCCCGTTAGTTCTGGGCCCTAGGTGCCCGCCTGGTTAGCTTAGCCCCAGAAACACACTTACTGTTTATATAAATTTAAATAGTTCACTTCACCAATGTTATCTCCATTGTTTTTTTATTATCAAGAATGGTTACGTTTTGGTAAATCTCATAATTGGTAGTTCTTTAATTGTGTTTTGATTAATTTGCTAGTATTAATTATAAGTGAACTACAAAGTTTATGTATATGCTTGTAATTTAAACTATCTTTTGGGTCTTAAGAATTGAAAACTATTCAGTCCTTTGTTTAGTAAGCTCAAATCTAGGCAATTAAATATCTGTGTTTCGTTTATAAAATTGATGATTCTTACCCTCCTAACTCTCTGGTGCCTAGTCCTGACTCCAATTCATCCCTCACCTACGTTAATTGCATTTCGTAAATATAATTGACTTTAAATCTAAACTTTTGACTTCAAAGTCAACTAAAATTATTGTCTAGTACTTTAGTATGTATGGCATTATACTATACAGGGAAAACAAACAGTACATTTGTCAACAAACATTACATTTGTCTTGATGCAGCTAGAAGAATTGAATATGGAGTTGAAAATGGGTTTAATTGAATACAATTTGGGGAAATTAAATTGGGTGAAGTCAATCATATTAGCCTACGAATAGGATGAATGCCGATATAAATGGAAAAAACTAAGATAAACTTGGATAGAATTGAAAATAATTGGGAACACACTGGTTTGAAGAGAAAAAAACATTACATTGTTAGATGTTCGGGAAAATAGTTAGCGGAGTAGGGTTTAGTAGTTATCAACTCACTGAGCATATTTGTGATTCAATTTAGTATT